TTCAAAAGAAGGAGACCGAGGTCACCTGCTGCACTCGCCGCAGGCACCAGCCCCAGGGTGCAAACTCATCCCTCGGGACCCTGCCCCAGTATGCTCTGTCTGTGCAACAGCATCTGCCTCTGCAAATAAATAATCCCGCACGTCCAGCAGGACCTAGCTTTGGTGTAAAATGCTCCTCAGTTTAGAGGTAGAGCAGGGCAGGTCTTGGAGAACCGAAGCATTAGAACCCAATGAAAGTGATGGAGAGTGTTAGAAGGGTCTTGTTTCACACCAGTGGGAGACCAGAGAGGGTCATTTCCCATCGCTCACGTTCCAACATCAAAGCCTCATGGGTGGCATTAGGAACATTTCAGGAGAAGAAACACACATCAAAAACTCATTCTGTTTTTTTTTAATACATGTAATAATTAAAAACATGGCTCTACATGCTGGATTTAATGAAATCCTCCCCTTCTGGCAGGCCTGCACAAGTCGAAACCAAGCTTAAAATGAGTGGACAGTGACCCTTCAGAAGAGGGGATGCTGAAAGTGTTTTCGTTGTACTTGCAGGGTGAGGGGCGGGGAAGGGACGCGGGACCCGGGACTGTGTTTTGCTGGGAAGCATGACGACATCCGTCGAGGGACGGGAACACTCTCAGCCTTCTGGCCTAAATTATCTGCTAACACAAATAATCAAATTCCAGGGACCACACTGCTCTGGCGCCACTAAAACAAGGGGGAGGCCCAGCCCCAGCGCTGCGCGAGCAGGTGGCAGCCCGCGTCTGACCTGCGCGGGATACTCCAGTGCGATATGAGAAATACTGATGCTCTCCAAGGAAGCCAGCACCGCTCACAGTATCGTGGGAAGTTTTTAATGGCTCACTCAAGGCAAGGCCCCTAAAATGTTTATATTAATACTTACATGTTGGATAGCCACTCATTTGGTCTCAGCTGGAAACCAGTCCAAACAGCTGAGAAACATCTGGCCGCTAACCTTGGACAACATCTAATCTGGTAGCCCAGGGTTTTAAGAGGTCTCTTCGAAGGGACAGAAGTTTGGCAGATACCTTACCGAGATCTGTTCTGCTGCAGTTGTCTCAAGTCCCGTTCACTGCTCGGGGATGACACATACAGCCGGCGTACATCCCGATCCCATTCACACAGCATCCAAGTCTCAATGATTGCGAAAAGCTGCAATTCAGTATTATTCCTCATTTCCAGGAATACTCCTAAAGGTGTGGCTGTGTGTGTTCCCCCTGCCCCGAGGGGAGCGAAAGCAGCTGCCAGCTCACAAACACACACATCTCCCCGTCTCCCTGTCCCAGTCTGCGTGTGCAGGATCTGTGCCGCCAGCCCTCTGCCTGCACTTATAACCAACAAATAAGCACATATCTGCCCCAAAAGGCCTCCACAAGGCAAACAAAAATCCTATTCTCTGTAAATCTGGAGACCACTATAAGGCCAATTATGAACACATGGTTTTAAAGCAGCTCCATAAAAAGAGTGAGTAGAAGTGAAAACGGACCCATCGTTTCTGATGAAGACAGCTCACAACTTTGCTTCCCTTTTCTTTCCAAAACTCCTGCCTGTACAAACTTTGGCATTGGCTATCCTGAAATATTCTTTGGTGAGTGGAGAGCTAATAAAATAATATAACATAAAAGAATAAATGTTGAGCAACAGAGGGGGAAGGGACTCTCAGACAGATCATTTGACATTTGTTCTCCCCTCCTATTACCCATCAAGGTACGGCAGGGCTTTCTAGACGTGTCAGGTCAAAGCCACCAACAACCTGTCTCGAGAGGCAGAAAATTAGGACAGGACCCACATTTCTGAAAACCCTTTGTAGGCTTTATTTAAAAGGAGATAAGGATGAAAAAGGCAACAAGATGCTTGACAGATATAAAATGATGAGAATCTAGCTTATCTCCTTATCTTCCATGGCGTCTTCTGCTCTTTGCTTTTTTGTTACAACAGATGTGGGAGACACCAAGGGGGGGGGTGGGTAGGATGTAAAGGCACAAGCACCAAGGATGTAGCACCAAGAAGGGAGGACTAGGAAGAAGATGCGCAACAAAGGCTAAAAAAGTCTCTTTCCTAGCACAGGCTAAGTGTGCTGGCTCTGGTCCAACAAAGCACTTAAGCATGCGCCTAACTTAAATTTGACTTCACTGGGGCTCTTCCCAGGCTTAGAAGTTAAGCATGTTCTCCAGCAATTTGCTAGAGCAAGAACAGAGAAAACGAGAAGCTGTTAAGAGATCTGAATCTTAGTCAACAGCAAGGTTAGCATGCTTTTGGAAAGCATCCTAGCCAAAGATTAACACAGTACAGCAATTTCCACTGACTTAGGAAAACTCTAAGCCATCATAAAAAATGTATTAAATTTAAATTAATATGCATAAAATTAGATATTAAGAATGTCACTATCAAATTCTCTTCACTTTCTTTCAGCTCTCGGTATGTAAAGCTCGAAACAGACACACATTTACAGGTACGTGCAGAACTGGAACTCCCTTGTTTCAGTGTAAGTCGATGCCAGCGTGAAAAAAATATTGAATTCACTGCACTGTTTCTTGATGTAGAAATACTGTCCTGTAGGTAAAGCACTGACCTCAACCGCCCAGTGGCCAGTTCCCACAAACAGCAAGGTAAGCCACAAACAGCTCCTACAATTCTGGCAGGACACTACAAAGGCTGGTATTTGGCCAAGGAGTGAGAGTGCGTCCCACTGCCTATCTCTGCTGGGTTTGTTTCCCTCATTAAAACTGGCAGAACTTAGCGCTGTTTCTCTATGTGGCATCTACCCGGCAGTGCCACAGGGAGCTCTGGAGCAGGTCTCTGGAGCAGTGCTAAGATAAAGCACTCGGAGCAGCCCGTCCCTTGGTCAGGCTGTTCGCCCAACGCCGATGGGCATGGCCATGTTCACCGGCTGCTTTTCCAGCTCTGCATCCCTGTACAGCTCGAGGGTGAACCACAGACAGCGCCGACGTCTCACAGAGCAGCTGATGACACTTTTTGGCTTAAAAATCGTTCCTCTTATGATAGTGGAAGAAACTTAAATTTTAAATCCAAAGCACCGCAAGAAGCGGTAAGAGTACAGAAAAGGCATATTTAAGCATAAACTCCCTACATACACACACAGAGCTTAATTACAACGAAGCAAGAAGCAAACAATGAGTCTTTATTAACAATTAAAATCTCACTGCAGTGCTGGTTTTCCACCTAGCAAGTTAATGCCTGTACAGTGAGAAAGTCATGATAAACAGGCTTTTAAAATTGAAATCGATTCAGGATAAATATGAAAAGTGGTTCCTACAAGAGGACTCAACACTGAAATTGAGCAGCATTTGCACCTTGCTCAGATCAAGCCTTGCGAAGCTTGCTGGCTCCCTCTACTGTCTTCATACTGCGAGCAGAGTCAAAAGCTCGCTCCACATCGACGAAAAGCACTGGCTGGTGAGGGTTTTTTATAGGATAGTCCAGTCCATTTGGTACAAGGATGGCTCATACACCCTCTGCAGGAAGCTGTAAGGGGCAGCCCCTCAAACCAGTTTCCACCCTGAGCACTCCAGCCACCGCCAGCAGCACCTGCTCTAAGGAACAGCATTTATTTTATGGCCAATCCATTTGTTTTATTTATTATCCCTTCATATCTTTCTCTTAGAGACACCGGTTCAGGACACAAACCGAGGGTCAGCAGGTATCAACTAAACACTGCCTTACACTGCCAGAGGTAGCATAAATACAGATAAGACAACGGTTTTGTTTCCCCACCTCATTTCTGAAGCATAAACAAGCAACCAGGCTGTGGGATGACTGGTCTCTTCCACTACACAGTTTTTAAGTCGCATACAATGACGAAGCTACAACACACGGATTCCATGGCAGCTGACTCTTACTGCATTATTTTTCCAGACTGCTCCTACTCGGTTGAGAGTAGAACAGCACACTGGAGCACTGACGTGTTCAAAGAGTGCAACTCAGGTGAGAAAATTTACAGTGAACCCCTTTTTCTTTTTTAAAGCAGCACCCAACTTCGCATGGCAAATGTTGTTACCACACGGCTCTTGCCAGCACAGCTCCCGGCGGAGCACGGCCCGGGTCAGGGTGGAACGCTCTAATCCGTACAACAACAAAGCAAAACAGACAGTTTCAAGGTTTTAAAACTGTTACTTGAAGCACGAAGGTTGGGGGAGGCCCCAGACACGCACCAACCATATCTTCCTGAGCAGGGCAAGGGCACTCGTACTACAGCTCTGAAAAACAGAGATAATCAAGCAGCGCGCTACAATTATCAAGCGTTGATCCGATTCCCATTTAACATCTTCGGACACCGAGCTACTTTAAATAAACACACACACACGAC